TGCACACATTTCTTGCTTCAACCTTGTGTAGGTTCCATCTTGGCATGATATTCATTCCATCTTGTGATACTCATTTCCTTTCTCAAAGCATATCAACGATGATCTCATGTTGCTAGTTGTGATGTCTTTAATGGTTGTGTGGTAGGAATTCATTTATATACAATAAGACCATATCTAGCCATGTGCTATGCTTCCAAGCAAATATCTTATTGGTATATGTATGACTTCCTTTTGGATATCTTGTTCCTTCGTGTTGTAACTATTTCGGGTGTACATCCTTCTTTGTAGATATATATCATCATGATTTAGTCTACCTAGAACCTTATACACTTGAGAGAAATTACATCTCGAGATGATATCCTTTCTTTCATGTCCACCTTGTCTTTCTTATGTTATTTCTTTGGTGGCTCCGTGAAAGCTTTTGCCTTGAGTGCGTGTCTTATCTCGTTGCATCTTGATGCACTCTTGTGTGATGAAGATTATTTTCCTCATGCTTGTCCTTATGAGGCTTTTGCCATCTTAATTGGTATCCCTCGTCTTGATGAGGCTTTCTTCTTCTATCTTCACCATGGGTTGTCGCAAGCTTTGTCATTTTCTTTTTAGTGAGCTTGTGAACCCATTTGTTAGTTGGGTATGTGTGGGGAGGAATGTCATGCACCGTGTATCTCATTTATCCAAGACTATGTTGATGCTTAATGCTCATCCTTATTTTAGTCTTCTCAAGTGCTTTGCCATGACTCACACACATCATTTTGGTTGAGCCTATTCTTAAGTTGCCTCTTTTACATGTTGCTCAACCATGTGTTTGTTGCAAGTGCTAGGCTTTGTTTCCTATATGCTCACTTACACTTGTTGTGAGTTTCTATTGATTTTGGGGGATCTATGATCCTATTGTGTGCACTTTGTATCCTAATTCAAAAATTCATATGTGTGCACAAATCATGGGGATATTCACTAGTTTCTTTAGATCACTCCTTTGCTCATATCATAATATCCTTTATTCATGTCGCTCGTAGGATCTTTTGTCTAGTTGGTTCAATTGGTATCTTTTGATAGCTTGCTTCAATTGGTATCTTTTGATTGCTTGATTGCTTGTTTCTCTCTTTGTTATGTCTTTGTGGCATATCTTTCTTTTGCAATCTTTGAGCCTCAATATAGTTTGTCTTCCTCCAAGTATTTACCATTGGATATTTGTATTGCATTCCACTCTCTTGTGGAGAAATACACAATTTATGGAGTAACACAATTTATATTGGCCTTCTAAGCTTTTCTCCCATTTTGGCAATCGATGCCAATGGGGGAGAAGTTTCAGAGAGTTTTGTGGAGAAGTTTAGAGAGTCATCTTTTCTTGCTTTGGTTGTGTTCCCAAGCGTTTGCATCTCTTACGCATGCAATTATTGGTTGTGGCATTGCATGGTGATGCATAATTCCTTATATAAACTCTCTTGAAAGTGATTGTCATCAATTACCAAAATGGGGGAGATTGAAAGAACATGCGGTGCCCCCATGTTTGGTTTTGGTAATTAATGACAATCTCTATGGACTAATAGTTGCCTTGAGTTATATTTGAAGGATTTGTCCATATGCATTTCTTGAAGTCCATGTGTTGGTTTCAAGGAGTTTATGAGTTGACCAAGGTGCTATTAAGGAATTATTCTAAGATTGGTCATGTGAGTGTTGAGCTTATTGCAAGCATGTCTTGAAGAAGAAGATTGTGTGATCATTCATGTTTACCTTCAAGACATCATCCAGATGAAGAGAGTTGGAAAGATTCAAGGTTGATCAAGACTAAGTCAAGAGTGAATCAAATTGATCAACTCACAAAGCCTAGAAGATGTACCGAGAGGGATCAAGTGATCCCATGGTATGGTAAGCATTGTCCATTGTGCTTTGTGTACTAACTCATGGTGTATGTGAGAGTTCTATATGGGGTTAGGTACGTGTTCATGGGCTTGTGTCAAGAGGAAGATATCACTCAGTCCATGGAGAGGATGACATCAAGTGGTGATCGTCATCAAGATTGTCGTGTGCAAGTTCAAGTGGAGCATCACGAAGAGATCAAGTGCTTGAAACTTGCCATCCATTGTGGTGTCAATGAACTTGTGAACATGTGCCGAAGAGTGGCTTACCCATAGTGGAGTATGGGTGAGCAATCATCTAGTCTTCATCGAGCCAATGCAATCAAGAAAGGTGGTCCAACTTGAGGGAGTCAAGATCGTCATCATCTAGCTCAAGTGGACCATGTTCAAGGAAAATGTTTGCCTTTGATAGGTTTTCTATTTTACTGGTCTCATGGTGGTAGTTGGGAGACCGGGTTATAGGATCGATTGCCATACTATCAAGGGGGGCTCTCGATGAGTAGCTTGATCGTATCATTCGTAGAGATCTCAAACCATTGAATCCTTGCATCATCTTTGTTGGTCCTTGGTTTATTATCTTTGTGAGCCTTAGAGCTTATGGTCATCTTGATGACAAGCTCGAGTTCTTCGAAAACCGATTTCTTATGCATCTTCTTTTGTGTTTTCGGTGTTGGAGTTTTTGCCGGTCTTAATTGATAAAGGGTTCTTACCATTTTATTTTGGGTATTTTCTCTATTTCTATTTCTTGATATTTATATGAAGATTGTGTTTTCTCTTATCTTTAGCTTTCCAACAAACTTGATTTCATCGAATTCGGAGCTTGTATGCAAAAGTTGTGGCTGTTATGATCTTACCTGTTTTACATAGAGAGGTTGTACCGCCCCTTAGAGCAGTTGTACCGGTTGACCCGTACAACCGGTGTTTGGAGCGGTTGTACCGCTCCAGAATTGGTTCGAAGGTTGTATCGGCCATGTACCGCTCTACCATCGGACTAGTTTCTGTTTTGGAGCAGTTCTTGGGCGGCTGTTGATCGATTGTACCTGTTAGTTTAGTTTAACCGGTACTACCGGTTTCCCGGGCTGTTGTACCACTTAGGCCTTTTTCCTACAGGTTGGTTTTCCCTCTACTTTGACCGATTGTACCGGTTTGTGCACCGGTTGTACCGGTTTGCACATAACGGGCAGATTCGTGGGGACCTATAAAAGGGGGTCTTCTTCCCCATTGAACCTTATCCTTTGAGCTTGTGTTCTTCCCCCATTGTTGACCTTCTTCGAGCTTGCTATCTCTCAATCCCTCCATGGATTCTTGCTAGTTTTGGGGAAAAGAGAGAGGAGATCTAGATCCATATTTCCACCAATCACTTTCTCCTCTATGTGAGGGGAACCCCTTGGATCTAGATCTTGGAGTTCTTGGTGTTCTCCTTTTTGTTCTTCCTCTCATTTCCTCCCTAGCATTAGTTGCTTTGGTGGGATTTGAGAGAGAAGGACTTGGGCACTCCGTGTGCCCTTGCCATTGCATTTGGTGCATAAGTTTGAGTTCTCCACGGTGATACGTGGAAGTTACAAGTTGAGAAGCTTCTTACTCTTGGGTGCTTGGTACCCTTGAGCTTGTTCCTCTTGGGTGCTTGGGCGCCTTAGACGGTTGGTGGTGTTCGGAGCTCAATCATTATAGTGTAAAGCTCCGGGCAAGCGTCGGGGTCTCCAATTAGGTTGTGGAGATCGCCCCGAGCAATTTGACGGATTTCGGTGACCGCCCTCAAGCGTTGCCAAAGTGTACGGGTTCGGTGACCGCCCCCAAGGCTTGCTATTTGTACGGGTTCAGTGACCGCCCTCAAGGGTCCCTTAGTGGAATCACGACATCTTGCATTGTGCGAGGGCGTGAGGAGATTACGGTGGCCCTAGTGGCTTCTTGGGGAGCATTGCTCCTAACGGAGATTAGCATCCGCAAGGGTGTGAACTTCGGGATACATCGTCGTCTCCGCGTGACTCGCTTATCTCTTACCCGAGCCCTTTACTTATGTACTTTACTTTGTGATAGCCATATTATTTATTGTCATATATCTTGCTATCACCTAGTAGTTTATCTTGCTTAGCATAAGTTGTTGGTGCACATATGTGAGCCTAGTTGTTATAGGTTTTGTGCTTGACAAATTAACCGCTAGGTTTATTTCGCATTTATTCAAGCCTAAAACGTAATTATTTTAAAGCGCCTATTTACCCCCCCACTAGGCAACATCCACGATCTTTAACGTTTCTTCCATGAAAAACCTCACCAAAATCTAAAAACTAAACAAAAGCCGAAAAATGTAAAAATAATAATGAAAATGTGTGTAATTTTTTTTTTTGAAATCCCGAGGATACAAGCAGCGCACGACACATGACAACAGATGTCCTCACAAAGGACGTGCTTTCAACCCATTAAAAATGCCGCTAGTTCCCTTGAGAGGGCACTCTCTAATTAGTATTTTTAGGTAAACCCTGTAATTTTTTTTTGAGACAAAACCCTCTAATTAGTTGGTTCCATATGCGTGCCGGCACAACAAGGGCAGCCGCCGTTAGTGCAGGGGCCCTACCGGCCCACTTGGCCAGGTTTGGTTGACCGCCCGTGCCGCCGTGAGAGATGCCCTCCCAAACACCTTTCCGTGGCATAGTGCATACTCCCTAGACCTGATAATTCCCCGGACCGGGCTTGGCAAAGCCCGATGAAAAAATCCCAAGCCAGAGCCCGGCCCGAAGCACATGAACAGTTGCATTTTTTAATTAAATTAATCATATTTAGGATATTATATTAATTTATTGTACCTATATTTCAGATATATATAGGCATTTTGGGCTTATTTTGGGATTTTGGGCCGGGCTTCGGGTGAGAAATTGGAACCCGAGCCCGGCCGAATGCTGGGCTTCGGGTTCGGGCCGCCGGGCCGGGCTGTCGATGAACAGGTTTAATACTCCCCCTCCTCTCATCGGACTGCGGCAGCGGGCACCGACTCCGACCTTCGCCTTGCCCGCCTCTTGATCGGAGCCGGACTGCCGGAGTCGGTAGATTGACTCGCATGTGCTAGATCGAGGCCGCGTCCTCGTCAAAAGGCTGATTGTCTCTCGACTAGGGTTTGAAAGGGTAGAGCAGCAGGGCAGATCGGCAATGGAAAATCACCACGACTCCCTCGCCGACGGGCGGGACGTCGAGGGCCCAGCCTTGTGGACTGAAATTCGCCACCGGCTGTCCCAGGATTTCATACTGAGGCACGAGGAGGCGCGGACGCGAGCCGCGGAGGCCAAGGCCGCCCTAAACGGGGATCACTGGGAGTGGGACGACGACGGTGCATATGCCGTCATCGATCCGGCCTCCTTGAAGGCCATGGTGGCCATGGAGACGCCGGAGGTGGGCGAGACGAGGGAGCAGGGCTGCGCGGTGTGCCTCGAGGGTTTCGTGGCCGGTGGCAAGAAGCTGAGGATGATGCCCTGTTCCCACTCCTTCCACCAGAGATGCATCTTCGACTTGCTCCTCCGTAGCCGATTCTGCCCGGTCTGCCGTTTCGAGATGCCCCCCCGGTCGGCCGACGAGCCGGAGCCGGTGGCTGAGAAAGCCGCTACTACATCTGAACAAGTTGGCAGCAACTGAACTGAAGAATGTCCATCGATTGAGTAAGTCACTCTGCTTGCAGCCGTCGCTGTTTTATGTTCGTCTGAATATATGATTACCGATCACGAGTGGTGTAATTTTGTTCGAAATTACTCTCCTCAATGTTCATCAAAACTACCACATCGTATCAAACCTTCTAATGGTTTCAGTGGTGCTTGCCCTGGCGCCTCACATATACACGAATTGATGCTATTGATTGGTTGAGTTTACAAAGTTTCTTATTCTTCTGCTAAATTGATATCGCTGTAATGCCTTATTCAAATATATCTGGAACAATCATCTGACTACCTAGAGGAGTTTATCTGACTACCTAGAGGAGTTTATCGAGTCTGGGGCTGGACATGTCCTTTAAGCATCTATGGAAGGCCAGGATTCCTTTTATGATTAAAGTGCGGTTATATCTGATCCGGCACAATGCCATTGCTACGAAAGATAATATGGAAAAACGCAGATGGACTGGTGATTACACTTGTCGATTTTGTGATGAAAATGAGAGCATCCATCATTTATTCTTTACTTGTTCTGCTGCTGTTTTATATGTGGAGCACCATTTGCCGTGCTCTGGGTGTTTTTTATAGACGTGTGTGTTTTACACAATACTTAGCGAAGAACATTCCGTTGGGCCTTAACTTTCATGTGTGGGCATTGCAGCCTTTTGCTGGGTGTTGTGGAAAACTCGTAATAGAGCCTGCTTTTGATAATATAAGTTGATATCAGCCCCTGTTGAGCTGATCTGTTACATGCGATCTTTCCTTCGTGTTTGGACAGGAATGCAGAATGATCGGGACAAAGACAATCTCCTGGTTGGTGCGGCGAGTCTGCAACAGATTGCTGTGAGAGCTCATGAGACTGCGCAGACGACTTCTGTGCATGGCCAGTTGTGTATCGATGAAGCTGAAGCTGAAGTTCGCGGATCTGGAAAACGATGAGATGCTGGAGTGACTGTGTTGTTGGTGGTCACCTTGTTGACATGCTGTTGCACCAATGATAATTAGTTCTTCACAGCCGCCGTTGGGCTGTGGTTATCTCACCTGGAGTCTTGGTGTCGCATGTTTCTTAGTCATTTTGAGCTCGTTCTGCCTTTATGTTCTGTTACAACCCTGCTAGCATTTCTGAGAGGCGTATGGGAAAAAAAGAGCTGAATACCTAGATGCCATTGCAAATCTTTGAGGTGTGCAGGTTATGATTGAAAGTCTTTTGTTTCTTTTTCTGATAGTGTTGTTGTTTCACCTGGTACCAATCTGGTGTTGTGCATTCTCAGAGAACACTTGTCACCATCAATCTGCCTTCATAATATAGCTATGAAAGGGACTGATTCCACTTTGAATCCCTTGATAAACTGGCGAGTAGGCTTTTAACTTGCTGCTTTATGTGAAATAATTTCTTTTTTCAAGAGCACGCCAATGGTGTGCCATATTTTTACTGAAGTCAGAAAAATGTACAAGAAGCACGTTTGATGGCTATTCCCTGACCTACACGGGGAATAGGATCCGCCATAGCTGAAAGTAGGGAGCAACTGGTTAAGAGCGTTTGTCATCTGGTTGGGAACGTCGTAGTGTCCGAGTGGAAGCACGAGTCGGATTTGCAAGGTAGGCCGTGGTGTGTATATATGTTCCCACGTGTTGGCATCCTCTATGTTGGAGTTAACCACGATGTGTGGTGTCCGTGTCCGGTTTGTATAGGAAGACAATCACCGTATAGGATATAGTATATACGTACAAGCTTAGGACAATCAAGAACAAAGCCTCGTGTCGAGGAAATCCCGTCTCCGGTTGAGCCCAATGGAGACAGTAGCGCGAGGAGCAGAGGTTCACGTCGAGAATGGCTGCGACGCGCCGACGGGGGAGAGCGGGAGGAGGAGGGGGCGGGACGAGTTCGAGCGCCCGCCTGAGTGGGACGCGCTGGACGCCCGGCTCGACGAGCAGGAGAGGCTGGACAGAGAGCAGGACGAAAGAAGGGACCCGGCGTCGCTGCCGGCCATGTTGGGCCTAACCTTGGCGAAGGTGGGCGAGACGAGAGAACATCTCTGCCTCATCTGCTTCGACGACTTCGTGCCCGGCTGCTACAAGAAGATCAGGACGATGGACTGCTCTCACTCCTTCCACCAGCGCTGCATCTTCGACTGGCTTCTCATTGACCGACGATGCCCGATTTGCCGCTTCGCCATGGCCTCGGAGAAGGAAAGTCTCCTGGAAGAGGAAAAGAAAGAAAGGCTCCATCGCCAAGGAGCTGCCGCGGAAGAGGAAGAAAAACTCCATGGCCAGGGATCTGCCGCGGCCGAAGATACATTTTTCATTTTTGGAACCAACTCCTCCTGATCTTCCATTTGCATCCCTTCCGGGTCAGCAGTCAGTATGACGGCGGAAGATCAGAGGCCGGGATGTATACCTTGGTTTACGGGAAGTGGTTGGCTTTTTTAGTCTTTCCAGAGCACATGCTATAGGGGAAAATAGAGTATAGTGCACTGCTGGATAATTCGTGCTTGGCCGCGCCAGGAACATGTAGATGTAGGCATGACTGGTGCTGGTGAACAGTGTGGTTCGGTGGAGGCAGCCTGTTTGGTCAGGTCACGCTATTATCTCAGAGTTGATAGACAAGTTTATCTGTTTCTGGGGCCTATTTTCTGCATGATTTCTGGAGATGTGTAAAAGCTGAAATATGCACCATACACATGCGTACGACATGATGATTTGAACCAAACCGTACACACGCATCCTTTTACACATGTGTATCTAATTTGCAACATTTGTTTTTAAGAAAGATGATGTTTAGAAATCAACCGACCTGAGTTGTTCACTCGATATTTTTCACACAAAAAATTACTGAGAGAAAAGATTAGACGCTTTTCTAAATATAATGACTTTATTCATCACAGAGTAGCAATGAAATAAAGTCAGGGATGGAGTCGTCCCAGAAAGATGAGGCTTTGGACGAAAAAGCCAACTTAGTTATACAATTTGCTACCCCATTTTCCTATCTAAAACGATGATGAAATTCAAGCAGACGAAACCCAGAAGCTAGTTGCTTGCATTCCATAATATTTCATTGATAGAAGGGTAGAAATAGATTGCAAGATCTCTGACTCGAAACCAATATATATAAACTCCGAAGAGGCACCAAGGTTTTCTAATTGAGCCTCCAATGTGGATCTGGCAGCAAGCCAGCAAACATGGCGGAGTAGCAGGAGGCGACAGTGTAAACTCCGAAGTTAGTCCAGGGCTGGACAAGCTTGTGTGTGTGCCACGGAGGGTTGTATGGCAGAGTCGGAACCATAGGTCCACATACTGAACCATGGCGGCAAGGCCTAGGCACCCTAGATGTCTTGGACCCAAGCTCGAAGATGAAGTCCATCCTGGATTGTGTGTATCTTGAGGCGCCAACGAGGAACCATCGCGTAGATGAGAGGCGCAAGCTCGGTGATGTAGTGCCCGGTCACCCAGTGGTTCGTCCAGACAAGATCGTCCATCACCGAGATGCCAAGAAGTAGATGTGCGTACCATGGCATGGACCTCTATGTTGTGAGGAAGAGCTAGGTGCTCCAGAGGTTGGTGTGTTTTAGCCATATCCACCGGGCACACGGAGCCAGGTCGGCACGATGGAGGTCCCGTACGCCTAGGCCACCAAGATCCACCGGCCTAGGGATTTTCTATCATAGCTTGCTCTAGAAATAGCTATGAGAACCGTTGGTGTTGCCTCGTGATTCAAACTGAGTGCATGGTCCTATTCTATATTTTGCCCATTTGATGAATTATTGGAGGTGGGGTGGCAGGCCAAGTACTGACCGCTTTAGACCTCTTCCAATGCATTGATGCTAAAATGGGGTGCTAAGTGCATTAAAATGCTTAGCAACTAATGTCCCCAATGCATTGGTGCTTAGGTTTTGTAGCTAAGCCTCCTCTATTTAATTATTTAATAATAAAACTCCTTCATGTATTGGTTGGTACTCCCTCCGTCTAGGTGAGTAAGTCATCTTAGGAGTGGCAGCGCAACCTAGGTGGCTTTAGATTGGGCGAGGAGGAGCACCGGGACGAGCTAAACTTCCAATCACAACGCTGTTACAAAAGGAAGCAAAATCAGCATTTAATCGCTGGTTATTAAGATGCCTCTTCAGCTGTCCATGCAGGCCCGTACGTGATTACATGCAAAACCGGCTTCAATTCTTGCCTAATCAATGCCCAGGCACGAAGCATGCACTGGTTGAGCGGAGGGATTTCCAAGGGGGAGAACAAGGCAGCGGAGGAAATCTAGGAGGATGTGGGCGCTCGTGAACAAGGCTGGGACGGGATCGAGGAGAATTAATGTTTTGTGCCTTATGGTTTTGGGAAAATCTGGATTTCGTAAGGTGACTTATTCACCTAGACAGAGGGAGTAGTCTTTTTATCTAGGTTCACGTGCTTAGCATTGGTTATTATTGGGGTCATCATAATACTCTCTAAGATTCATGCAGTTAATCACGTTTCCTCTAGGGTTTTCCTAGAGTCCACCCGTTCCTCTGGCAGCGACGTTGGAGGCCACCCTACCGCCGATCACCTGGACTTCTCCCTGGCGATCGACAGGCGTAGGGATCAGACAAGGAAGCTGTACGCGATGGGGGAGCCCGTCCCAGGCAAGGCGCAAGGAGGAGAGAATGAAGATGGGGCTAGGATAGGGTTTCCAGATGAGAAGTTGAAGGAAGATGTAGGGCAGGGGGCTGGCCTGTCGTCCAGCAACCCGACTCTGGACCATGCTGCCGTTGACAGGAGGGAGGAAGATGAGGCCTAATCTCTTCCTAGCTCAGTGCCATTGTTTGGGGGATTGGAAGCGGGTGATGGAAGGAGGGCCTTGGCAGTTTAGGAGGGATCCGGTAGTCATTGTTGAGTATGATGGTTTTACGAACGTTGCTGAATATGCTCTGGATTTGTATCCACTATGGGCTAGAATTAAAGGCCTCCCGAATGGGTTAACGAGGAAGAAGGAGCTGGCGGAGAAAGTTGCTAAAA